GAACTACCTCGGACACAGCCATCACTCTATCAAGACTAGTGCCCCCTTTACCTGGGTGCCATCTTCGGTAGTTCTTCTTCCAAGAGAGTACTCCTTTAGAGCTGTTCCCATTTGGCTGGCTAAGTGAAGACCCCAAGAGAGGAATCAGAAAGCCCAGCTGAGTACGCCTGGGACTCTGCACATATTTTTGACCTAGTCTGAAGTGACAGATTTTTTTCACCTCTTGGTGCCTAGGCATCCGGGACCGTAGGTTAAGTACTTCCATTTCCTTGATGTCACTAGGACAGTATGATATAGAGCCCATCAACAGAGCAAGCACTGGGAAAATTGGCAAGGCACTCAGTTACGTTTTAGACATTTGCTCACTGGCCATCTACTCACAGAGGACAGTCATAAACTGTTAGCTTCTGCCACTGGGTATTTAACTCAGAGAAATCCATGACGACAAGTCTAGAGAAGCCATCAGACGAGGGGCAATAGAATCATGAAGTCTTGTTTGTTTCCTGCTAACAGTGACTGTCTTTGTTATATTCTTCTTGGTGGCATTTGGCATTTTGTAACTAAGGATTGGCATAGCCGGCAACCCAGTGTTTCTAAGAATTACTATCTGTTCACCACAATCTCCACATTCAAAGAATCAGAAGCATATTTTATTGTTTTTCAGCGTGCGTTCTCTTTTTATGACTTTGCTTTAACCTGGAAAACCCCATAACTTTTAAACCATACACTAACAGTTCTGGCCAAGACCACAAAGCAACTAATAGGTACCTAGAGACTTGAGATCATTAGTTTATTTTACCACACAGTTAAATATCACTCTACTCCCACCCCCTCTCTCATCTTCCTTTACTCCTGCCATCGTTTCAACTATATGGCTACTGACCAAATGCCCAACTGTTTCAGCATAATACACAACTCAATGGGAAGTTAAGATGGGTTACTTACAAAGAATCAGAGAAGGGAGATTTAAAAAAAAAAAACCTAGCTCTAATCCATTTTATCCATTTTGTAGAATGCGCCTGTGGATCAGCGCAGGCAACTATTAAGTTCAGATAGTAGTGACAGATGGCATTAAACTCTCTGGTTCGTTGGCAACCATCTGCTCTTTACTGAGTTTGTATTTCCTAGGCATCGACTTCAGACTAGAAAGCATGTATCTCACTCAACCTTTCCAATGTTGGGGAGACTGGAAATCAAGGTCATTCACTGACTGTGTGATCTCCTTTTTCACCTCTAAAATATCACTGTTGTCCTCTTGTAATAATACACAAAGTACTCTAGGAAAAAAAATATAGCCTTTGTATGTTTGGTAATGTCAAGAGCGAAACATGGCAGAGCAGAACAAACAGCCACTGTGGCAGGAAGATCTGGATTCAAACCTCACTCTGTCACATGAACGCTGGGTTCCTGAACAAATATCTTCACCCTAGTCGTGGAAGATTCCACATCTCTACCCCCTGGATAGCGGGCCTCCGAATAAGGTGTGTGAAGGACATGGCCCTGGTCTTGTCAGAACACAAGTGTTTAACTCCCCTGGCTTTTTTTCTTCTCACCAGGTTACAAAGGATGGCAAATTCTGCTCAGGAAAAAAAAATATTCCTTAAAGATTTTCTATAAATAACTAGGATATGACTTCTGTGTTTTCATTGAGAATTCTTCAGTCCCCTCAAACAGTCTTCCTATACCAGCCCTCAGCACGCCATCCCTCATACACTGATTCTACTTAATGAACCCATCCTGCGTGCAATGACGTTCTTCTTCACTAGGATCTAAGGTGGTCACGTCTCAGAGAGCAATCATTCTACAGGGAGATGTATTCTAGGTGATGCTGAGGTCATTTTAGAGGACGGGCCCTGGCTGCTTTCTAATAATCGTGATACTTATGTGAATTCTAATGTCTATCCAACAAATAACTGTTTATCAAAGCTACAGTTTTATAAATTCTTGTTTAGGGTGATTCTAAATAAAAAAAAGTAAGCCGAATTAGAGTTTAGAATTTATATAACTGTAGCTTTGATAAACAGTAGCAAAGCAGCCAAAACAAAACAAAACAATGTAGGTAAAAGACTATACAATGTAGAAATCACTGCAAAAAGACTATACAATGTAGAAATCACTGCCTCTGCAGCAAGTAGGAACACAAAATGGACAGGTGCCAATATTCTGACTTAGAATTAGCCTACAGTAATGAAAGAGCATGCTATCGGGACCCTGGGCTTTTGAATTCTCAACAGGTCCTACACAGAATCAGGAGTCCAACTGGATCCCGGTGATACGGGAACGCTGGGACACGCCTGGCCAGGTAGGAAGCATGCCACGTCCAGGTGTCTGGGTAGTATCACAGGAATATTCATGTGAACCGAGCAGAAACAAAGATCAAAGACTATATCCAAGTTTGGGGTCACAACCAAACCAGCAGGGACTACACAGGGACAGGGTATCCTAGGGAGGATGTGTGTTTGGTCTAGAGTTACTGTGCTTTGACTTTAGGACCCAGTTTCTGGCACTGTTTCACCCTTCAGTCACTTGGTTCTCAATCTTCTGCCTCTGTGTAGCATGTTTAGGAGAAAGGGGACTTTCCTACGTCCATACTCTGTCTGAAGAGGCAGTGTGTCTCTAAGCCAGCATCTTACTCTCCCAGCAGAGTAAAGCAGAAGATGACCACTATGGCCACAGGAGCCTTTTCTTGAGCCTTCTCTCTCAGCCCTAAGACTGAGGTGGGAAGAGGGATGTTCTTACCATGGTGGATTGGAACACAGAATGAAACTTTCCCATCAGGAAAAGGCTTTGACGAATCAGAATTACAATGTTTCATATATTTTCCACATTATTTGAGAGCCCTCAAGCTAGGCTGGGGCCCTAATTATCACTTACATTAACCACTGAGGTCAAAATGCATTTAAGACTTAAAAACAAAACTTGGGGGTGAGCTGTTCCACAGATGGGTACCACTTAGACTTAAAAATATAACCAACATCTTACTAGTGACTGCTCAATTCTAATAGTTTAAGTTTTCTTTTTCTTTTAGCATCTTCAAAAATAGTTTTTTTTTTTTTTATTTTTTAAATCACCAATCATGGCTAATCAAACCTGTATTGTGGGAAAATAACTGACTTCCCCACCCCCAAAACAAGGACTCCATTTTTACACTGAGGAAAAACCTAGACAACATAAATATAATTCCGATGCACAGTTGTCTAGTCAACTCTTAGTATCATGGAGTTATTCCCTGGATAGCCTGGAGCAGCTACCCCAACTCACACCTTGCTCTACTCATGGGCTTTACTCTCATCTCTGATGGCCTAATGAGGTCCACTGTTCCCTTTAAGAGAACAGACTTCCTGGCCCAACTGGAATGAATGAGAGCTTCAAGGGAGTGACCCGAGATACACATTTGTCAGTATTGCCCATTTCTGGCAATGTGTCCAATCTGGTTGTTCTTACCCTGGTTCTTCCGAGGATCAAGTGGAGGCCTTGCCAAAACTCAAGCAGATAGAATTGAGCTCCAGAACTGAGTCAGTAGATCGAGGCTGAGTACCAAGAAGTCACATGTCTAAGAAGGCCCAAGCCGAGATGACACTGCCACCCAGGGACCACACTTTCAGAAACTGCTTACTGCAGGGCAGAAGGGAGAGCTTAGCTGGTGAAGTGCTTGCCTTGCAGGCCTATCTCCAGCACCAACATAAACAGCTGGGCATGCGCCCTAGGGCTGGGGAGGTGGGAACAGGTGGGATCCCCGGGGGCCAGCCTAGCTCACTCAGCCAGCCACAGGGTCTGTGACACCATGTCTCACAGGCACGCATATACACAAACCCTCTCCTCTTCCTCACTGTCCTAAGCCCCACTTATTTAGGCTGGTTGGTAGTCTCTGCAGTTCAGTTGATGGCTAACTCTTATCTGCCTCCCCCCGACCACCATTTTAAAACAGATTAGAAGTCACTGGACTTCCTTTCAATTCAGACCCCTGCTACTGTTCAAAAAGCATTCAACCACAGTACCCTCTTCCATCAAGGAAAAAAAAAAAAGGACACACAATGGAGAAACTCTGGAAATGTGCTCGACACACAGTAGGGAGGCACGGAACATTCTCTGAACCCTCACGTCTCTGCCACAATTCCATCCTGTGAGTAACAGTGAATTTTTGCTGAGGTCTAGAGGCACCTCACAAAACTCACCGCATAGACTTCCTCTGGTTACAACAACCAGCAAGCCAGGATGGCTGACCACTTCTTTTCCTGAGAAAAGAAGCTGCTCCAAGCTGCATTCTGAACATGCTCAGCAGGAATGCACTGGGCTTCCCCACTCACTCTTCTGAGGGAAGCAAACTTAGGAAGCATAGATCAGGACTGACAATGGGATCCCCCTTCTGAGCAAATCGCCTTTCCGAGCATGTATTTTATTCTATGTGCATGCGTATGCTATCGCTTGCCAATGACGGGTACTTGTGAGAGTCAGTTTTCTCCATTTACCACGTAGGTTCTGGGGGGATTACGCTCAGTTCCCCAGGCTTGGTGCTAAGTACCCCGGAGCTGCCTTACTAACTTGCGAGCCTCTTTTTTGATTTCTGTATCCTCAGCTCCATTTCTGCCTTTCTACAGTGCCCAAATGTTTCAGATCTCTCCTCCATATGTGGACAATGTGGTACTCTGAGGTACCACCCATGCCCCCCTTTTAACCTAACACCTCCCAACAGTTTCCACCATCAGAATTTTTGTTAAAAACCCCATAGCCTTGATCCCCCTCTGGATAAAGTCCACCCTGAGCGTCTTTCTTTACTGAAAGTACTATAAGATGCTTCAGGTTAGCTAGGTAGACAGTGGGGGTGGGGGCACTCTCCAAATAAAGTCTCCACAAGCTGGAAGCTGCGGTCTTTGTAAGGACTGGGAGCAGGACCTGGGAAAGGACCAAGTGTACACGGGTCTGCTCATGACCTCAGCTGAAACAGAACTGCCATGCTGCCGCCGGCGACGACGATTCAAAGAGGAAATGGGAGTTCTTACTTTCTGCGAAACATTTCTGCGAATATGCAGCCGACGCTCCAGAGGTCCACGGGGGTGGCGTAGCTGGACTGGAGGAGGACTTCTGGGGCTCGGTACCACAGCGTGACGACCTGCAACAGCAAAGGGACCCGGGCGTTACTGAGAAAGCCAGCTGTTGCGTTACCCAGCCTAGGTGGCTCGAGGACAGGATCCGGTTCATAGAGACCAGTTCACATGTCACCGTAACAACAGGACAAAGGCAAGAAGCGCATAGGACCCATTCACAAGCCAGGAAACTGCCTCATCTCCTAACCTGGGCTTTCATTTCAGACTGTCTTAATGGGACCTGGGATAACAAACAGCACAAGCTTCTGAGAGCAAAGTAAAAATAAAATAAAATAAAATAATAAAATAAAATAAAATAAAATAAAAATAAAAATAAAAATAAAATAAAGCCCAAACTCTTACCACAAAGCTGCCCTCCCCTATTTATAAGACTTCAAAACAACACATGAAAAACAATGATGGCTCCACTCCCAAAACACTAGTAGAAAACGGGGAGATTCCAAGTGGCTGCTGGAGGGTGTCCCTGAAGTGCACAGAGCATCCCAGGACAAGTCAAAACTGTTCTCATTACGACACTGCGAGGAATCAAAAATAAACTCCCCTTCCCTGCTGCTCCTCTCAGCTAAAACGGAGGAAAACAAGAGAGAACGTACAAACCGAGTATTTGCGCAGCGTATGAGAGCTGAAATCCCGAGAACCCATCTGACATAGAACAGACTGAAGAAGTACAACCGTAATGATTCCCTCCAGGCTGAAGGCCAAGGAAAAGAGCAGGTCAAGGCCTCAGATTATGTGTGTAGGGAAGCAGGTGCCTCTGTTCTGAGGAGGAAAGGATGAGATTCTACAGACACCCGAAAGAAGGATGTACTCTTTCACAACATCTTTTTCATACTTTACACACACATTTTACATCACTCAAATGCCTTTATCCTCACTGTTTTGTCTGTGTTACTATCTAGCTTTCCTGCAATTTGGCCTCACGTACTTTTGGTCCTATGTCAGCTGGCACACTGATATTGGGGTAGCAGGTCTCTAAAAATGTCTTCCATCAATTCCCTTCTCTCCCTGTATGTACACGGAGTTGACTCAGCTCTCACTGAATGTGAGTTGCCTAACCTGCAGGACAGTTCCTAAGATGTCATTTGTCTGGGCCCCTTCAGGCACTTGCTCTTGAGATGTTCCCTCCAGGGACCCAGCAGTGACGCTGAGATGTCCCAGGCGGCACTCTGACAGCCCCTGCTATATATCCTCAGCTAAGAGCTCTCTGGGCCCTCAATATGGGACAGTCAAGACCAGCTTGGCTCCCAGATGTTTGAAGACCGCTGAGACGAGTCTAGCCAACCTTCAGGACTGTAGGCAAGAACAGAATGGCAGCTGTTTTAACGTTTGGGGGTCAGGACATAGCAACACCGACAGTTCTCGCCTTTTCATGTCATACAGTAGGTTTTGCTTCAAATCCACCCAGGGGGCAATTTCATTTAAGAGATACTTAGATGACGTCTATGGAGGAGGCTGTATCAGACATGGTGGCACTTAGGAGGCTGAGGCAGGAGGATCATGAGTTTTAAAACCAGCCTAGACTGCATAGTTGTGACCCTATCCTAAAATAACAACAACAGCAGAAACAAAAAAATGGAAGAATTAAGGTAATAGAATAGAAATAGAAACAAAATACAAACTGATGATGCCAAAACAATGTTATTTCAGTTGTCACCTGCCTCTCATATAGATCTTTTCAGCAACCCCCTTGGTGCCTCTGTATCCTTGATACTAGTCAAATGCTAGGCTGCATCACCTGACAGTCAATGGAACCATCCATCGAATTAAAAAAAGACAAAAACAAAAAACAAAAAAGAAAAACAACAACAACAAAAACCCCTAAGGTTCCTGGACCTTATGCTTAACCTCACCAAATTAGAGGGTCTCTGTTTTCTTCTTTTAGCATTCTGTAGGCAATGCTTAGCTGGATTTGAGCGCCACTTGATTACTTACTTATGTATTTATTTATTTCCACCAGCGAGTGTAACCTGTCCAGTTCCTACTTGGTGGGCTTTCTGTTCGTTGTTTATGGCAACACCTGTTTGCTGCTGCTGTCCTGTGGGTGGGGAAGGACACTCTCCATCATGTACAATCTGTATGACAAAGGCTGTGTGTCCTAAGTCCTGAGCTTTGCAGTATTTGCCCCATTCTGAAGGTGGTCTGAGCCTTGCCATTGCTCCCATTAGTCTTTTCCTCCAGAATTTCTAAAGGTGTATGTTTCATACACACATCGGTCTTTTGTGTTTCTGGCAGATACTTATGATAATACAATATTAGTAAAATAATGAGAATTTAGATGGTACACATAGACTAATTCAGTTGTAAAATGTAAAGAAAGCAGTGCATTTATCTGGCAACAAAGAAAGTTAAAACAGGAATTAGAAATATAAAACCTGTACAAAGAAAAAAGATGATAATACGGCTGTTGAAGAACATAAAACCTAAATACATGGCATGACAACAATGTGAAAATGCTACATTATAAAGGTAATATTAATACAAAAATTAAGAAAACCCAGTGATTTGGGGGAGAAAAACAACTCTGAACCTAGAGAAATAAACCTGAAGGTGACAAAGACTAAAAAAACGCTAAGTAAAGTCCAGAAACTGACTAATGTATTTATAGGGTTGGACTTACAGTGAGTCAATTAGGATTTAACATAATATCGATTAAATCATCATACTGATTAAATGCTGTATAGATCAGTAAGAAAATGACATAACTGAAAAGTGGGGGAAGTCCATGAGAAAGCAATCCATAAAACATAGAACCTGACAAAGACACTCTCTCACAGAGGGAGAGAAGAAAAGGATGAGGCAGCTTTGTGAGGGAACTGTATGGGTTGGAGTGGAGCTGTTTTGAAGAAATTTAGCAAAAGAACCTTATTCAGAGTTGCCTCTGTTATGTAGAACAGCTTTAAATTGCAACGTGGCACAACTGTTTTGAGGATAACAGGACAGCATTTTTAAAATTAATAGTGAACACGTGCCTGATCCAGCTTGTTCCTCAGAAACATTTATACCACTAAACAAATAGCTATGCCGCAGAAATGACTAATAGGGAATATTATTTATCTCCCAAAAAGAAACGGGATTGTTCTCACCTTCCATATCCTGCTCACACAGAAAAGATGCCCATGAAATAATGTTGAATGAATGATCAACTCTGAACTCTGCTGCAGAATGTTCTCACTTTTGTTAAGAAGTTATGTATGGGTGTGAACATAATGGCCATAATGTGCCTAGAAAAATTCCTGTAGGGACACAGGTCTCAAGCTTGCCATGAACATCCGTCACAAACCATGGAGGCACAGGGTGGCGAGCGGGCCCCAGCTGCCCCTAGTGAGCAACTGACAACTACAGAGCTGAGAACTGGGAATTCCAGACGGTTGAGTAGCCCTGCCCAAAGCATGAAGCTTAGCAGGGCTGGGGTCCTGCTGAAAATCTTATGGGGCGCCCTTAGGGCCAAACACCCCCGAACCAACAGGGAAAGGCAGGCTGAAATTAAGCCACTAGTGAGCATGGTTTAAAATTTATTGTAAGAGATTTTGAAACTTTTTCAGGTGAGTCTGCAAATTGTACAGATTGAGCTGCCCTTTGGTGTAAATTATTTCACCGAACAATGGCTTGAGAAGAGAAAGACTGCCACTGCTTTTCACCTGGGGTCATGACAGTGCTCTGTGTGGAATGACACCCACTGCAAAACTCCATAGAATGACTGTTAAAGAGCTAAAAGAGCTAAAAGTCTCACATGTCTCTGTGGAGGCTTCGTCTCTGCTTAGTCTCCCTACAAATCACCACTGAGCAAAACTAGGAGGAATCAGATTATGTTCAGACTCTACTTGAATTGACAATATTTACCTAACGACATGCTGATTTTGGTTAAATTCTTGTGGAAAATGAGTTGTTAAAAAAATATTTTTCTGTTTAATTCTTGGATACAATAACCCCAAAAGTTCCCAGGGCCTACATTAAAAACACACAAACAAACAAACAAACACCCTTTAATAATAGAAATAAAATAGCATTTTATAAAAAGCCATCTTTATGTATTAGGGTATATATAAAGAAAGCATTCTTAGCATCAATCCAGAGGACTTCAATTAGCTCATGAAGCTTCTGTAGATTTAACACTTGAAATCCTGTATGGTTTGGAACATTTTATCGCAACCAAATCTAGTTTCTAAGTCCTTGAAGACAAAGCACAACACATCTTTCTTGCAGCAAAATACCTATTTTCTTTTCTTAGGAATTATTATACTTCTGTGCCTGTGGAAACTTCTGGTGGGAAACTGCCCAATGTTTGCGCCACAGAAAGATATTAATAATTAATCTGAAAGTTTAACAAGGAAGGGAAAGTACTGATTAAAAAAAATTGTTTCACGATTCTACCACATAAATTAAGGATGGTTCTCTAGCACACAACCAAATCTGAGGCCACCTTCCCTGTGCAGAACAGATGTCTTTAAATGTCAACGGATAGTGTTAAGCCCGAATGTGAAAACGCGGTCAGGGAAAGCAATGAGCACAGTGTGTAAGGATCAAGGCTGAAAAATCTGTGACAAAGGTTGCTACCAATGGTAACAATGCAGTTGTCTAGTAAGCAAAGATAACAATGGGAACTATGGACAGAGTTTGGCTGGAGCCAGCTGGAACCAACGCAAATACCATGTTTATTGCAATCATTACATGTATTAACACAGCCTCTAGAGGTGCTGAATGGATTTGGCAACAGGAGGGGACCTGGAAGGGGGGGGGGCTCAAGGATGTTTACATAAGTTAATGTATCTGTTTAAGGGCTTTGATCTCTATTCACAATTTTTTTTGAACCAGTTCAATATCAGTATAAGATAAAGTAGAGCCAAGGCCAATGCTGACTGTTCCCACTTAATACTCTATTCAGCACTCTCGTCCTTATGCGCGCTTTCACCTGGATCCCCAAGATGCTGTTGACACCACTGGCTTCACACTAGGTGGTTACAGTTTGCGGAGAGGCCCTGGTGAACAGCAGCCTGGGAGGGGGTTC